GTGACATGTCTTGCTCTTCCAACTGACTTTATTACTGGACTCTGAGAACCCATGCAATTGTTCTGTAATGGCATCTCCCATCACGTGAACATCATTCTCGACCTCATAGGCCAGCTCTTCAGATAAACTCTTATCATCTGGATACTCTGTCAGCTTCATGGGGAGGTTTTCAGCCACCTTGTACCCAGGCTGACTTTCAGACTCGTCTGAACCGACATACATGTACGCCTTGAGTCCGTCCACAAGGATAACCTTGGGTTTGCCTCCATTCTTTGGCTAGATGCGTACCATCACATCCAACAGCTTTTTTAAGATCAACCAAGGTCCTTGCCACCGAAGTTGGAATTTGGGGGAAAGATGTTTCCTCTTGGCTGGGTTGTGAAGCTAAACCATCTGGCATTCTCTTAAACCGATGTTCAAATACCTTGCTGAACATGGGCAGCTTTGCAGAGGCATTCTTCGGCTCTTTTATGAGCACCTTGCATGTTACTATGCAAAGTACACCCTGTCACCAAGTCTACCGGAATATTCACTTCCCTTCCCAACATATCATGTTCGGGGGGGCTCTCCAGTTGAGTCGTGTGTTGCGCACCTGTAAAGTGGCATAGGGGATGAACTCATCTCAATCCTTCTACCTACGCTTTGGATATTAAGTAGCATTGCTACATTTTTCACCCAGATTCTGTTGAACCTGTCGACCGTGCCATCCGATTTCGGATTATAGGCAGTTGTCTTGTCTTTGTCATGCCCAGGCACATTTCCTTGAACACATCTGCCTCAAAGTTGGAGCCCAGATCAGAATGGAGCTCTTGGGGCACCCCAAACCGACAAACTCATTAACCAGTGTATGGGCGACTGTGATGGCAGTGGCATCAGGAAGTACAAATGTTTCCATTCACTTAAAACAATAATCACCAACTACTAACACCTGTCAGTTACCATTGTCCGTTGTGGGCAATGGCCCAGCAAGCCCTCCTTGCACAGACATCACAGTCTTGGAGAAATGACGTCCATAGACATGCCTGGCCAAAAATACCTAGCTTTCACTTTGGCTACCACCATACAACTCGGCTATGACTTTCTTGCTAAACTTTGGTGGCACCACTAATAGCCACCAGAGGGACTTTCCATCATCGGAGTCCCATCTCCTTTGCAACACTCGGTCACCAACCTCCAACTGGTCCTACTGTAACCAATAGGTCTTGGAGGTCGCTGATAAGTCAAAAATTTTCTTCCACTGTTGGAAGTCCTTTGCTCTCTTCCTTCAACCCTATGAGCCAACTCATGATGTCATCCTACGACTGGGCTTCTCTTAGAGCACTAAAAACCATGCCACACTGCAGTGTGGCATGGCCAATTCTAATGGTTACCTTCTGGCCATATACATGTAGGTATTATTTGAAATACTTCAAATATAACACCGCATCCAACAACTCTTCGCGAGTGACACAGTAGTTTTGCTCAGGTTTTCTGAGCTTCCAACTTGCATAAGCAAACACTTTTTTGTCACTATCTTGTACCTAGGACAGGACTGCCCTGATGCTGTCACCACTGGCATAGGTGTCCCAGATGAAGTCACTTTCAGGAACCGCGTATGACAGAACTGGAGCAGGTGGTTCCAGCCCTTCAGCTCATGAAATGCCTTGACAACTCTCAGTCCACACAAGCTCCTTTGACTTCTCTGTCAAGGCAAGGAGTGGGCTTGCGATCTCTGCAAACCCTCGTATGAACCTCTGGTAGTGTGAGGCAAGACCCAGAAAGCTTCTCCTCTCATACACACCTCAGAGTTGTCACTGCTTCAACCTTTCGTGGGTAATGTGCCCCAGGTATGTCTTTGACCTTTGAAACAAAAGGCACTTGCTAGGCTTCAGTTAGTCGGTTTTTTCATTAAGTGACAAAACCCCAGATAATAGAGACATGTAATTTTTTGATATTTCCTGCTAATTTTTTGATATTTCCTGCTATGTTACTTCCTTTGATCCAAAGAACAAATGAGCAGAGTTTGTTTCAAAGCAAAATGTTGTTTACTTTCCTTTAATTATACTAGGAAACAAACAATTTTACAAAAAGTTTGGTCTCGTGTGTTTCTCTGTTTTCACGAAGTGACAAAAAGGCACATCGTTAGCAAGGCGAAAAAACAATATACACAATTCCTGCACAAGTCTCTTTGTGTGCGTGTGAATGGCGTTGTATATGAACACCTGCTCGTGTGTTGAAATGTAACAATTCTCTTCCAGCGCGTATTTTGTTCATGAGTTACAAAAAAAGAAAAATCAAAGACCTCCGAATATTTCTGCTTTCACGAATTACAAAAAATAATTTATTTAATTTTTATTGATATATTATTCATTTATTAAGGCAATATATGTGCAACTAAGTTTGGATTAGCATTTCTTAAGTCTTACATTTCATAAATTAAAAAAAAAAATAATTCCTCAATCCGTAACATAAAAGTGATTGAAACTGTGTATTAAAAAGGCTGGTGTTTTCAAATACGTTTATCTCAGATTGTCCATTTGGCAAGATTTGAGGTTTTTTACTTTGAGAAAACACTGACGAATTTGAGCCCAGCCTGTCTTAGCTTGTCGAACACCACCTTGAGACGGGCTAAGGTCTCTGTTACTGTCTGACCAAACACAATGATGTCGTCTCAATAGATCAGTAGGATCTCCCACTGTATTTTAAGCCAGCCATGACTCTTCCATGAGCCACTCAAAAGTGGCCAGTGCATTGCATAGCCGGAAAAACATGCATTTTCACCGATACAGTCCATTTCTCACAATAAATGTTGACTTTTGGCTGTCGTCCTCATCAAGAGTGACTTGCCAGTACCCACATGCTAAACAGAGGGTACAGAATCACTTTGCCTTTCTCAAAGTATCAACTGTTTCATTAATGAGCAGGATGAGATATGCATCCTTGATAGTAAGTGGATGCAACTTCTGGTACACATAGTGAACGCAAAAGCGTTTCGTACCATCTTTGTTCACATGGACAACTTCTGCTACCAACGGACTATCAGAGGATTCATTTACTCCCCTCTAGTCGAGGTTGGGTATTTGCTCCTGAATCTCCTGCTGATGCAGGTATGGATGCCACCTCACCCTTTCTTTTATTGGCATAGCATCACCAGTGTCTATGTAATGCTTGACCACGTGCATGTGACCGATGTCATGGTCACCATTGGACAACACATCAAGGAAGTCTATCAGAAATTTCTGGAAATCGTAGTGATACTTAGCCTCCTCATTGGCTGTACCCCTTTCGTATGACTCTTGCAAATACAGGGGCAACTTCTGTTCTGTATATGTCACCACATCCAACTCCCCATGAATTGAACTGGCCTCAATCTGGGAAATCACTCCCACAGTTGTCCTTTCACAGGCAATTCTTGTCTTCCTTCTAGGATTAAAGGCTAGCAACAGAACAGCATCAGCTTCAGTCTCAACCAGAGATCTGGCCTGCATCAAGCCTCTTTTGGCTAAGTCAGCACCACCCCATTGGTTCTATGTACCAAGGCTGGCCCGAGAAAGTCTGAGCCCTTTTGAGCAATTTTGCCCAGGACCACAGCTTCATGACCCAGTCGAAGCACTGTAGTTTGGGAAACCACAACACGTCCAACAAAAGATTTACCTGCACCATTTTGTGCACATGATTTCCTATCTCCTCCCTCAATTGGAAGTCTGTTTCCTTCTGTTGGCAGGAGAAAATCCGTGCCCAGGATGACACTATACTTTATTTCAGCAAAACGTGCCCAAGTTGGGCGCGTGGTCCAACTAACCTGCACCTCCACCAAAGCTATATTCAACATGGTTAATTGGTTTCTGTCCACATGTTTTGTTTGGACATCTCCTTTCTCCAAGACAGGTCTTTTCTCTCTTGCGATTTTACACCTCGCGATTTATTTAAGTTGTCAGTCGAACCTGTGTCAATTAAGAATCGACCCTTGGTTGACCTTACCAACCTATCAACAAAATAACCCATAACCAGGGCTGCAGCTTGGATCAGGCAGAGAAATTATTCGCCACCTACCATCACCATCTTCGTGTCGTCTTTTGGACCATCTTGGCCTCTCAGCCTTCCCAAGGGTCCTGGGGGCTGACCACCATTTCCCTATTTCAGATTATTCTTACACTCCTTGGCGAAATGCCCTTTCTTACATTTCAAACACTTAAAGGTTCCAGGGTCAGCTTTCCCCGGCTTGCTTGTCTTCAGAGAAGACAGGCAAGACTTGACTTGCCTTGACCCTGGCCTCTAATCTGACCTTACAATGACTTTAACTCGGTTCAGCCACAAATCTCAGTCTTGGCCTGCTCTTTGAGACTTTCCTCTGGAGTCTCCAACCTCTGTTCTTTGTCAGTTTAAAGCCCTCGCCAACTTGGCGGGCTTCAGTTCTAGCACTCACTGCTGTTCAACCATTTCAAAGTTCTCAGTCTCCAGGGCAGCCTGGACCGCTTCGTCGTAAGGTTTTGTAATGGCCCTATTGATGCCCTCTTGTACTACATTTAAGTGGCTGTCAACAGCATCAATGAAGTAGTTCTTGCCAACTTTTCTCGAGCCTCTTCCTGAATTCATGGATTGCTTGCCTTAACTCCAACAAACTTTCTTTTGGCGAAGATGTCTCAGATCAATGAGATTTTCACTATGTCGGGATAAGCCAAACCTGTGCTCAACCAATTTGACCAGCACACTGTATGTTTGCTTTTGGCCCGAGTCACCCAAACCCCCCCCAACCTGTAGAGAATCCTCTTGCAAGCTTGTGTCCAACAACTTCCCAGCTTGCTCAATATCATTTGAAATGGTAGAAGTAACCTTCTAGAGCACTTTTCCACTATACCGATCAGGAGTTATGTTTGCCCAGTGATTTTTGTCACTACAATCTTCCCTTCTGACCTGAGTCACCATGGACATGTGCCTCTCATTTCAGTGGCCAAGGACCCACTTATGACAAGTCCACTCCTTCCACTGACTAGCTGTCCTTTGCCTTGACTAGTCAAGCTGCCAAACTTAGCAGCTCATATCACTGTGCACCTGTTTAGGGGTACCCTTTTCCACTTCAGAGACGAATGGGTTAGTACTTGACTCACCCTGTTCCACACCACCTTGCCTTGAAGGGAGCAGTGTCGGGTTGTCTATGACTTGACTCTTGCATTTCAAAGCGACTGGCATTGACCCTTCTTCATCCATGAGCCTGGGTCCTTTAGAGGCGTAATCTATATAAAGCTCACCTCCCTCCCTACTTTGGGGGCCCACTTATGGTGTCTGCTGCCTTCCTTTGCACTTGACACTTGTCTCCCCGTTGCACCAGAGACATATCCAGAAGTCTCTTTGGGCAACCTCAGCTCAACATTGGTATCAACCTGATAGAACGCATGCTGAATGCCTGCTGACCTGCCCGTGTTCCTTTCCTTTGGGGAACCATTCGACTGCAGTGCAATTGCAGCATCCAACTACTTTGCAATGAGGCCTTTTTCCCATTGCAGAAATTGTGCTCCCATTTTGCAGTCATTGCACCTCGGTCTGAGCATCTGAGGTGCCTGCTTGACCCTGCAGGCCTTTGCTCATGACTGACAACAGCCCCAATGATCTCACAAGACCACGAACAGTATACAATGCAAATCAAAACATAGTGTGCAATAGAATAATATCACAGAGAAATCACGTAATCACTCACAGTCATCCCACTTCTAAAAGCATTTGTGGTAGAGATCTCCCGGGCCAAACTTAAGTTTGTTAGGCCAGTCTAAAGCCCGTTGGAGTATAGCTGCTCTTCCCAAACCCAAGCTTTCCCCAGACATGGATTTGATTGGCTATACTTTATTACTAGGGTCCTTCTGCTCACATTATCCGCACAGCATGAACAATGTACCACAATGTGAGCAATACACAATAGTGTCAGCAGTGTTCAACAATGTAACTAATGCACAACAATGCTGACCAGTGAGTTTCCAAGTCAGCAATGTGCTACCAAGTGAGCAACACACAACAGTGTAAGTTATGTACCACATTGTAAACCATGGACTCCTGCATCAGCAATGCTCACTTTAACAAGCAATGCAGAATCTGTACCAACAGTACCCATCAAGCTTTAACCAACTGCTTAGTGTCACCATGGTGCAGAACACACCTTTTTACAGTAAGCACGTCAGCATTGTACTGTGTAACACGAGTACATGTACTGCCATAATTTGCACACTCAACCCTAGTAAAGTAAGCACTACACACTTAAAACAAACAAACAACACATTACCTTTCTCAACACTGTCCACAGCTCGACTCCTGAGCACCACGTGACTGCCTTCTCAGGCAGACATGCACACTGTTACACAATTGCATGTACATGTACAAGTAATAAACCTATAGGAATAATTAACCAATTCCAAACGTGCATTCGTACACTTCCTAAGACTGGCTCTATATATGTCTTTAGACTTTCTGTTACAATAGTTTGTGTAAAATTTGCCAATTGAATACGACGCTGTTATGACATACAAAAACTAGCCTTATAGGCCAAAGTTGCTGGGCATTTTGGACACTGAAACGTTGGTCATTAACACTGTTGGTCTCAATTAACTGGTTTTCAATTCCTGCTCGGACATGATTCACTTTGCCCTGTTTTTCACTCCCCGATTGTATTTGCAATGCCTGGATTGTTATTCTTAATGTTTTTTTCCTGCTCACTCCTAAAAATAATTTGATTGAAGTGTCCTTTTTTTACCTCAATCAATTCTAAGCTTGGACTTGAGGGGTAAACAGTGCTGCAGCACTAATTAGAATAGGCAAATTTAATTAGAAACAAACAAAAAGTTTGAACATACTCGTTTTCTTGAGGGGTTTTCATTTCGGGATTACATGGTCACTTTCAGTTTGTTCTTTATTTTGCCATCGAAGTGCTGCTTATAGAGAATACCATTCTGGGGAGGACTTTTGAGGATTTGGGAATGTTTCTAGGAAACAGGGTCTTTCTATGCTGTCCTTATGTCTTACCATGATATGTGAGTAAACTTACCATTATTTTGTCTTGTTTGTCAGCTTGCTCGAATTTGGTCTCACAGGGAATGACAAAGATGACTCCGATAGTAAAGGTATGTACCTTGTCCAGAGACTCTATGTGAAAGAGTCTAGGTCACAGAAAAAAACCAGCAGTTTGATACAGAACTCTGCATTGTAACTTACAGTGCCTAACAAATTTGACAATCAGTGCACACATTGCTTGGTTTATTTGTCGGTAATTTCTTTGCTTTTGAAAAAAGATGAAAAAAAAATTCAATAAAATCTAAACTTAGCAAAAAACAGAAGAATGGTGAAGAAAATGGAAGTTTAATCTCTCTTTTTTGTGGTGTGTTTTGTAATGAAATCACTGGTCTGCTCTCAAAGCTTGAGTCAACTCTTAGAGTGATATTTCTTTTATCCACTTTTGTTTTTCCAACAAAAATAAAAAGTAAGCCTTAACCAGTTGAAGTTTTGACCGACGCTTTGAACTATCAAGGTGCTTGACAAGACACTTTCATACAAACTTTGCTGGATACTGCTGGATTGTAAGGAGATCAGATGAAAATGTTGGACTGCATCATCCCCATAGTAACTCATGACGAAGTGACATAGCATATGGCTCTGCCCAACGGTCTTCCCATTAGATCACTTTGCTTGGGGATAATGAACTGAGTTGGTAAAGACAATGTTGCTTCACCTAACGCTTCGATCGGATCACTTACTTCTGTTCTGCAAGTTGGAGTGAGTTGGAAGTGCGACAGTATTTTTCTGTACCCAACATACTGTAGTGTTGTACTGGATCACTTACCTCTTGTCAAAGAACCGAGATGGATGGACATAATGACTGGAAACACACACTGGCCTATGTTACATGGTAGTTTAAATTCTATGCAGCATCTTAAGGTTACAGTTACTGAAGTGTTGGAGATTGTTGTATAATGACTGTTTGCGTTAAAAAAATTGAACTCAGTTGCTTTTTAAGTAGTTAAACTTGTAAAAATTGTGTTAACTAGAAATTTACCTTTTTTACATGAATATATTATTGCATAACATTCATTTTTATGAGCTGCCTTTAAGGTTGAAAAATTAAGCACAATAATATGGATGATTTGTATGTAAGACCATTAAACTACAAAGAGGTTTTGAACCTGGTATCTTTGAAAGAAGTTGTAAAATTTGTAAACAATCGTGATGTATGTTAAATACAAATTTACCTTGTTTAGTCCACAGTGAAGTTTTGTACAGATTAACTTTTGAAGTACGTGTAGTTGAACAAATTGGTAAAAAAAGTAGATTGCCTGAAGATTGACCTGTTAATTTCATTTACATTCGATGGAACTGTATTTCATTATTGTGTAATTTAGTTTGGGTCTTGCACCACTTGAGTTTAGATTGTTCGCAGTGTACATGTATTTTGGAAAATTTGTATTCTCATCTTCTTCAGACTCTTTACCTGTAGTTCATGCATCTTGGTTGGTATGATGATTGCCCTTGAACAAAGGAGGATTCTGCTGTGAAAGTTAGACGAACATTATCCATAACAAATCAGAAACTGCAAGGGACACGTATCCCTGTCCAGGAATTTGTCAAAATGTCACAAAACAGTTAGCTTATGTACAATCCAAATTATTTTCCCTCAAACGAGTATGGAAGATAAGAAAGCTCTGTAGTGCTATTAAGTGTACATTTTCAAAAAGTGAACTATGATGATTGCCCTTGAACAAAGGAGGATTCTGCTGTGAAAGCTGTTAATTAATAGTCAGCTGAATGAGATGAAATTATCACAAAGAATGAGCTACAGTATTTGTGAAAGCAACATGAAATGTAGCGGTGTAATTTTGAAATTAAATTCCACCATAGGGGGCACGGTTTGTGACATTTTGACACCTTTGCAGCTTAGGGGTCCAAGTTTAGATTTGTTATTTGTACATGTGTAATAGCTTGTTAACTTTTCTTAGTTTAACCTATTTTAGAGCACATTCGAGTGTTTCAGTACTGTACCTTTAAGAAAATCGGATTGCAAGTGTAACAAGGATGTAACACCACTACCGGCAATTAAGGTATTAGTTATATGATATGAAAAATACCATTTCCTTCACGTTTTCTAACATCTGTTGGAGAAATTTAATGACAATTCATGGCATGTCCCATTGACAGGTTTCATGGATAAGCTCAGAAACTTTAAAATACTTTTGCTCAGAACAGGTTGATGAGCAAAAAAGTGTTCCCTGGTATTTATTTGGGGGAGAAACTGGTGCTACAAATGTAAATGTTTTACAAAACAAAAATCTCCAACAGCTTGTGTTTATAATATTTGTTCTTAAAAATTCCAAAAGTGTTATTAGGTTAAAAAAGAATTCTGTTACAAGTTAGACGAACATTATCCATAACAAATCACAAAACTGCAAGGGACACGTATCCCTGTCCAGGAATTTGTCAAAATGTCAAAAAACAGTTAGCGTATGGTACAATCCAAATTATTTTCCCTCAAACGAGTATGGAAGATAAGAAAGCTCTGTAGTGCCATCAAGTATACATTTTCAAAAAGTGAACTAAATTATTTCGAAGACAGGAGATATGTTTTTAAAAATCCGATTTTACGAGATATAGTTTTCCAAAGTTTGCTCGCGACAAACATTCCTCAGTTTGTTCTGATGAGATCTATATTTAGAAACATTTCTATTTTTCGCAACAAATCGTTTTAGGAGATATATATGAAGTTTGTTTCCAGGAGATATGTATTTTCAGGATTGGATTTATTCTAAAAAAAAACCGAACTTCAAGATAATACAACCTCTAAAAACGAACTAATAGAAATCTTACAACAAACATGGAAAATTTGTTTCCAAAAATAGAAACGTTTCTACCTACCGATCTTATGGGAACGAACTGTAGAATGTATATCGAGCAAATGAACTATTGAAAAAAACAAAATGTCTAAAAACAAAACCCAGTTTAAAAATAAAGTTCATAAAGACGAATTCTGAAAGATATACTTCACATCTTGAAAATATATAATGGATGGCATTACAGGGCTTTCGTAGGAACATGTATAAATGCAGACGTTAGTTACTATGTATATGTTACTTGATACTTCCTGTAAAAACATGCAATAAAATTAATTTGAAGTTTCCCAAATGGACATGATGCCTCAGTGAATATATTATTACCTCCGTTGTAGTATCTTTTAATGCCTGAAATAGATGGGAATATAAGAAAATCTTCTTT